ATACCGTTGTTAAGCCGCAACAACTACTTCACTTGCCCACCGCGGCACTGACCCCCACCGTCGTTTAGATTTTTTTTATAGCCTAGTAATAAAGATAATTTAGTTCAGTAAAAGAACAGACACTACAATTAAAAACTGAACGCGGCTGCTCAATGCAGCGTGCCGAACAAAAGTCGCATATCACAGATCAGATTTCGTTTCTCCAGTGAGGAGAGTGAGTGAGCTGACTGACAAGAAGAGTGAGGTGAGACAGACAAGACGATCGCGGATGATTTAGTTTCGAAACTAGATGCAAAAGCGCCTGTTTGGCAATATTTTGGATTTTGAAAAGCCTGTTGACTTTTGCCGTTTATCTAAGGTGATTTTGAAAGTTTTTTTAAACATTTGTTTCTTATTTAATTGGTTATATATTAAATAAAACATAAAACATGTATATGTTTACTTATTTCCAGTTTTGTATAGGCTACCTATTTAAACTTTATGTAAGTTATTTGTTATTTTATATTAGGCATAGCCTGCCCTATAACATGGTGTATTTTTATTCGTTTTGTTAATAAAAGTTCTATGTTTTATATATAGGCTAAAGTGAGTTTGACATTGTATTTTGTTGTTGCATTCAAGCAATTGACGCCGAATTACCGCTAATTCGATAGCTATTTAAAAGCGAAGTTAAGCGAGGAAAAGAGGGAAAATTCAAACGAACTAAAAACGAACAATTGCTTTACGCCGAATTGCCGCTATTTGAAAGTGAAAGTAAAATGCACACGCTGCTTTTACAAGCTATTTAAAAGCGAAGGAAAGCGAGGAAAAGCCCCCGCCCCCACGGTGTTTATCGGTGTTGTCACACATTGATTAACTGGTGGGAAAATTTCCTCACCGTCACAACCCTAGTTACTATTGGACTGTCGGCTCAGAAAAACCAACACTAAAAACCACTAAATCTGAAATTACTACAGCCATGAAAACTTTTGGAATGAATCCACCATCTTCAACATCTTTTTACACGCTTACACATTGAGTTGTGTCTCTCAGTTTTTCCGGCATCTTTTTTAGACAACGTGCCACCCATGGGCGTCGCTAGGCCATTTTTAGGGGGGCTATTGGTCGACCGATATATCGCCAAGGCCGATATCTGCCATTTTTCAAATATCGGCATCGGCCGATAAGTTTTTCTGTTTGGCCGATGGGTTTGAGGCGGGACTTTTATTTTGACGGCGCCGAGAACGGCTGCGGCAGCGCCTGAGCACACAGTGCTCACATTCTCCCTCTTGTTCGCTGTTGTCATTCAGTTCTGTCTAATACGGATAGAAGTCTATCTAATAATCAGATAGAGCTGTTAAACAAAGGAATTAAAATGTATACAAAAAAGTATTATAACGATTGCTTTAATATTATTAAAGGCAAACATTATAATACTTTCTCGTTTGCCGTCAGCATTCCGCAAATACGCATTTATATAATTTAAACAAATCTTTGAATGACTAATGAACATTTAATTTCACAAACCTTGCAGACTTAGTCGAATCTAGTTGAGATCTTGTGAAGTGTGCATGTGACCTGCATGATCGCGTGTTCTGTGACGATCGGTCCTATGGTCCGTGCGAATTGAATACGGACAGGTGGAGAGTTCAGCTTCACTGAAGACGCACGATCGACAAACTTTAAACTCGTGACTGATTTCAAATTATGCTGCGCTTTATGCATTTGTCCACTGTCATATTCATGACATTTTCACTGTGTGCTGTATGTAAAATGAGTGTTACCTTGGCTTTATTTGAAAAAAAATGATTCCCAATGCACACAAACTTCCCAGAATACCGAGTGCCCTGTTGGTTACAGTGTTTACTTCCTTTTTAATTAGATTTTTATT